TGTTCCTCATGTTCAGACTGATCACCATGTGCAGACTGATCCTCATGCTCAGATTGTTCCTCATGTTCAGAGTGTTCAGAGTGTTCCTCATGTTCAGAGTGTCCAGAGTGTTCAGAGTGTTCAGAGTGTTCATTCTCCTGGTTCTGGTCATTCTGCTGATCCTGGCCGTTCTGGGTACACCGAAGACATGGGCACAAGAGCTCACACAGTCTTTTCCGAGAAGAGAAGCACAGTCCAACAAACGGACTAACATTCAAGCTTGCCCCAAACGGCGGCTGCTCAAGCTTAAAGGATGGATCCAACAAGATAGAATTCGCAGGCAATTGAGCAGCAAGCCCCTTGGGAAGATCGGAGGCACGAGAAGAGGCATTGCTATCACTCCGCTCAGACACACTGCGATGGTAGCTGTCGACGTTTTTGTAGCAATGATGACATATAATGTCGTATTCACCTATTCTTGGGAAACAGTTAAAGCTAGCTGGAAGCATAGCCTCGTAGAGCGAGCTATCGCCCCAGTCGAAATTGCCGACTTGGATCCAGGAAGGTAGCTCGTCAAGGGGAATCAGAGGAACTACCATGTAACCTGGTCGGTAGACGTAGAAGTTGGGGAATGGTTGGAATTTGTTGATAGGGTGGGACATGCGTGGTATAAATGTAGTGATATGCAGATCTTGGTTATCAAACGAGTGGATGGTGTATCGATGAAGATACTTAGAGTGAGAAGAGTACAGTAGTGGGGTTGTTTTGATTGATTATTGTATATGCTTAGTTTGGGTGTGCTTTCCGGAAGCTGATGTGTCGGGTGTGGCTTCCTTATTATTTTCACATTACTTCGATCAAGTCGATAGCGGGCTGTAGGTCCCGTTCTTACAGGTAAACCCAAGATCAGGATTAAGGGCTGCCGTTGCGTTCATGCAGATCACACTCGCCGGTTCCAGAACTTGCGGGTATAGTTGAATGTTGTCCGCCACAAAGTTCTTACAAGACTGCCCTGTATGACACTCGATAATGAGGGCCTCCGTGTGCTTCAGATTTGGCAGCCCAACGTTGTACCAGCAAGGGTCGGAGACGCAAGAGCCGTCGCCAGGCTGGTACGTATTAATCGAGCCAGAAAAGTCAGACCAGGTGAAATCCTCCATCATCACAGCTGAACTGGCATTGACAGTCCCGGACCGGGAGGCGCCTTGGTCGCTATAGCTTTGAGTGACAAAGATAGGGAACGTCACGTTGAAGACTCTAATGTTATTCCAAGTCACATTCTTGACGAGTCCGGTACCTCCGCTCCATGACTTGAAGCGTGCGGCGTAGAGGCCATCGACGACAGTCACATCGTCAAAGCGGATGTTGCTGATATTGGCAAAGTCTGTGGGGTCCTTTCCCAGCGAGCCAATGCTCATGCCATGAGTCTGGTAGCCAATGGTGTTTCTTGTGAATAGTATGTTGTGCGAGTCCGCGCCTACTGCAATCGCGTCATCGCCGTTGTACATGATACTGTCGGTAATCTGGATATTGGTACCCTCCACATCGAAGCCATCTGTGTTGAAAGGGAAGCTACCTGTCGAGGTAGCATCGATAATGGCATGGCTAACTGTGATGTCTTGTCCATGCAGCTTGGCATTCCAGGCGATAGGCTTCCTGGACCTGAAGTATTTTATGGTCGCTTGGCTGGTCTTGAAGCTCATGAGATGCGGACGATTATCAATGCCCGAACTACCTGCAGGGTTCGCATCCCACCAGGGCTGCCCATACGAGTCGATCCAGCCATTATTCACGTCTTCGGGACCAGTCCAGTCCACCTTGGGCCCTTCCAAGGTGAACCATGTAGAGCTACCATCACTGACGATATTCTGCACTGCAGTTATATTCTGTGGCAGATGCAGATTGCCGTGCATCCGGATCTCCACATTGCTGAGGTTGGTGGCCGTAATCGGCTGGAAGACATTATAATTTACACCCTCCTCGAAGATGATAACCGAGTCAGTTGCGCATTGTGCAAAAGCCTGGGAGACGGCAGACGAGTCATCAGCCGTTCCACTTGATGCCTGATATTTAGACGGAACCACGCATTGTCGGCTTCGCGATGCTCTGCTGGAGTGTGGAACCCCGTGGACGAGTGACGAAGAAAGAAGGAATAGGAGTGATGCCTTGAAAACAGACATGATGATGCGTGAGTAGACAATAACCCACTAATTAGCCAGTAGCATTCGCATACTCACCCTTACTTATATCCCAAGTTGGTGTATCGTCTCGAGGTTCAGGTCCTCAACTGCCATGCCATTAGACATGACAAGCGTTCGGAAATTTGCTTGCTTCTCAGGTCCATTAACCGGGAAATTTCCTGAAGAGGCCGCAAATAGAGTATGCGCGGGACCTGATCGGCGTATAGATCAACCAAGACAGCAGCGCATTAGGCTGGCATTGGTGGAGAAATAGTGACAGTTAGCCAAGTGTGGAGAGCTGCCCAGAGACGGCCAAGGTAGCTAGCTTCCTGCTTCCCCGGATGTTCATGATGAGAGAAGTGTACGTGAAGAGCATCTTATAAAATAGATAAAATAGACAAAGAAGTAGATTGACTGTCAAACAAAGTGAGAGCTGGTATGCTGCAGGGATGCGATGGTGCCGTGCAAGTGTTTATCCGGGGTCACATGGGGGTGGAGCCGGGAATCCAGAGCGAAACTTCTCCTGTCAGTGTCATAGCTTCTTGTTAGACAGTTAGCTAGCTATTTCTCTACTATCGCGTGTGACATAATAGTCCATCTTACATCTACTTCACATCTACATTCCTACAAATTAGCTCTCTTCAAAATGACTGCCCCCACGCCCAAGTCGGCGCTCGCAACAATGCCGACGCCCAATATCCCTGCATCCGAAGCTGTCGGCCACTGCCAGAGCGTCGCAATAATCGATGCTCCACTGCAAGAAGTCTGGGATACTCTCATGGACACCTCTACCTTTCCCTCATGGAACAGGTTCGTCCCTGCCGTGACTATCCGAGAGCAGCCCGGATGCGAAGGGGGCGATCTCTCCCCCGTTCTCCAGGCTGGGACGAAGATGACTTATCACGTGAACATGAAGCCGACCAGCTCGTCCCAGCCACAGCGTGCACAGGCGAGCAATGATACTCCATTGGTCGTGACAGAGTGTGATCCACCCAGCGAGAGCAAGAAATCCGGTCGCATTGTTTGGGTTCTTGATAAGCAGGCGCAAGGTCGCATCATGTCCTCACTGTTGGCGGCGGAACGGGTCCATGAGTTCGTGGAAGTTGATATTCAGGATGAACAGGGTCAGATGAGAAAGGGAACGGAAGTGCGTAACTGGGAAGCGCAGAATGGAGCCCTGGCGTATGTGGTTCGCTGGATGGTGGGGGCTCAGCTGGAAGTAAATTTCGAGGTGTGGTTGCAGGATCTCAAGGAGTATGTTGAGAAGCAGAGGAAGGCGCGGGAATAAGATGAGCTAGTCTAGTCTAGGGTGTGCCCCTTTACTTTGTACATAGTAATAATACGAGTTTAACTGGATGACTCCTTGCTGAGAGTGGTTTGGTAGGAATTGCTGCATGCTGGGTAAATTGGATGATATCCTTGGATACGTATCTAATCTCTCGACTCTCTGTTCTGTAGTGTTTTTTTCGAACTCTCAAGGTCCCTGCTGGATGTGATCAAATACTACAGTACGGGATTCCGAGACAGCCTTACAGCCACAACTAGCGTCGGCCCCGTGCGCGCTTGGCACGGCGATGTGTGCTATTCCAGAGCCATCCACCGGTTCCGGGCCAGGTCATTGCGTCGGGAACTGTTCCTTTGATCCCGTATGGTGAAGTGAGATATCAGATTGCCAGGCTTTGTTCCCGACTTGCAGTAGATGGTGGAGCTGAGAGAGGTGCCAGTGTCAGCATTTCGGAAAGGAGGGAATTTTAGGAGTCGCGGAAGAACAGAGGATGACTCCGCGCTACTAGGATGGCCCTAGTAGAGTAGTTATATGCGAGGCTTACGATGGCCAGTGGGAGGGTCATGCACCTGATGTGACAGTAACTGAAACTACTACTATTTGAGAAAAAACTGAGTTTGGTAAGAGGTCGGATGCAAAGTGGAGATTGGAAGAGCGTCTCAATGGCAGGCAATTTCCCTGGCAGACCGTGACCCACGTGGGGGTGGAGATTGGCTGAGGCCCCGTCCGAGGGTTACGTCCTCGGCTGTCTCTTGATTCTTGAACAGGCCTTTTTTGGGTTCGTCCTCGTCTTTCCCCCCTTTCAAGCAGCCACCGTCGAAGGTTCGAATTTTCGTTCATCCTTCCTGATCTGGAGTATGCGATGGGACCCTCGCCAGATTGAAACGGGGCCGCTATACTACCGTTTGATACATCCACGCAGAAAGAAGAGGGCGCCTGCAGGACTACCGCAGGGTGGATGAGCCATGGTCTGCATGTACCCATGTACGGAGTCCTACTTTCTTTTTCCTTCAGTCGGGATGTTACGATAAGATCGACTAGTCTCGGGCTGGCTGAGAGACCACGACCATAATGTATCTACTGTATATTCCCTGCAGTGTCCAGCAGACGCCACGACGCGCGTGAAGTAGTGGAATTTGAAGACCTCGAGATGGTCATCCCTGCAGCATAGTGTGTCACACTTTTCACGGTCTTCGTCATCCTTTTTTTTTAGGAGGTGGAGACACCACAAAACAAGGATGGGATTATGGTTATTCATTCACCCTTTGCGACGGCCATCCAGGGCGAAAATGCGAGGGTGACAGCCGTTTGTGCCCGAATGACTGGGTGAGAAGGAGACTAAGTCGACTAACAAGTAGAAAACTGCACGAAATTCGAGGGTTGAGGGGCCAGCTAGACCCACCGGCTTGCCGTATTAGGACAACCGGACAACTAACGACGGGAGACTAGTGCCCAATCAGGGATAGTGTCCGTGCAAATGGAGGAGAAACGCGCGAGTCGCAATTCCATTCAGTCTCGCTTTTTCCTCTTTTCTTGCAGTCGCATTTCATGGCTCTCTCTTACTTCTCCCGGTTGCCGCTGCGGCTTTCTTGCTCATCAAACCTTACCCCGGCTTGCTTTCCCCGTTTTACCTCCCAATTTCAACATGCTGCTTCGAAATAGAGATAGAAAATGGCACACCCGAAAAGGAGCGATGCAATTCCGAGCATGTCAGTGGGACTACGAAGATGGTCTCCCCGCCAGGCCAGACTCGCCCCGGTGGGTGGAACTGAACTATCTATTTGGCATGTCACGGTTACTTGCGACGGTTTGCTGTAATCACCCATGGTTCCTCGGGCACAATTAAGCTATCGCTCTTTCTGTCGATCTATCCAGTTACTCTCTCTTTTTTTGAAAATAAATTAATTTGCATTTTCCAAATCCACCGGGTCGAGACTCGTCGCCTCCTCAAAATTTTCTACTCCCTGCTTGGTGTTGATTTTCTACTTTCACTCTGATTCTATCCTTCTGTTCTGCTCTTCTAGACTATGTATATGTTGCACTCCTCATCAGTCCGCTGTCTGTTGTTCTATTCATCTTCCTGCACCTTGACCCATCAATAGTCAGTCTTAAGCGCCAGGCGGACTCGAACCCCGGTGCCGACGTCATCCAACCGGCTTGCCACCAATTGCCTCGTCATTGGCTATATGCCCACTGCTATTGCTTCTTTAAATCTTATTCAAGGTCCTCGGAAATCCAGCGACAACCAGCAGACGTTCTAGTGATTTATCTCGTATTCGCGCCAGTCCAGTATAGATACGCGGTGTTTTCTTATCGCGCCTTTTGACCGGAGATCCCTGGTCCTATCGGCGCTGAAACCAAACCGTCGCACCGATTTCAACTGTCGCCTTCCCCGCTATCCCCGCCTCTTGCGATTTTCACAGAGGCATTTGCTTCTTCAGAGTTGTACATCATGACTCCTACGCATTTGCCGTTCCCGCTCTCTGTTCGCACCCAACATGATACCGATGCCCGCGCGCCGCCTCTTCTAGTAGTGCCCGGACTGACTCCTCCGGTGACGCCTACTGTAGATGACGAGAGCCTTTCAGGCAGCGTTGCCACCCTCCATTCTGGGGCTTCTAGTCCATTCTTATCGCCCGTCGAGGGAAAATTCAAAGATGTTGATGCGGAAGATCGCACGGTCTCCACCTCTGACTCATTCACGGATGAGTTGGAATACCACAAAGACCCCAAGGGCCGGCCTGTCGAATATGGCCGCGGTCTCTGGAGCGTTGTCTACAAAGCAACACCTTGCGAGCCCTCCAAGCCCTACCTGCTTACGCCTCCCAGCTCTCCAGCTGTCAAAGCCCGCACGGTAGCAGTCAAGTCACCCGCAAGGCGAGATGCGCACTCCATTTTGGATGCCGAAGCGCTCGCCTTGACTCGGGTCAGCCGTGTCGCTGGGTCACAGAACCATGTTGTTCCCTTCAAAGGATATATCGCAGACTCTCACTCCATCGTCATGTCAGCAGTGCCGTTGGCACTCTCGACCTATATCGAAGAAAAAGCCGCTGTGGCTTTGCAGAACAAGACCACCAGAACCATGTTCGAGCCCATCCAGGGCATGACCCAGTGGTATGACCTCGCAAAGAAGCTCATCATCGGTCTGTGCTGGCTCCATGACGGGCCGCAGATGGTACACGGTGATATCAAGCCTCACAACATCTTGCTCCGTGCACGCTCAAACAACGACGATTTGGAATCCGACCACTTCCCTTACGAACCGCTGTTTGCCGATTTCTCCTCCGCTCACCCTATCAGCAATTCTTCCTCTCCCGAAAGCAGTCTGGGCACGGCTCTGACAGCTTTAACACCACCATTCACAGCCCCGGAGCTTCTATGTGTCTCATCATTAAAATCCCCAGACGTGGCGCCAACCCCAGAGTCTGATGTCTTCTCTCTAGCCGTTACTCTACTGGCTGCCGCTACAGGCGATTTGCTCCTCTACCCGGGTGCCAACCACTTCCAGCGTCTAGCCATGGCCCGTGAAGGCCACCGCGTGATTGAGTTTGCTCGCTCCGGGCCGAATGGATCTCGCATACCGCGCAACGGGATCGTCGAGCAAATCATCAAACCAGCAATTGTCAAAGACCCGAGCCAGCGCATTAAACCTGCTGAATGGGTCAATTTGGTCGAGTCTATTTCGATCTAACTTTGGCTATGGTTGCCTTTCTTTCGTTATCGCATCCCGCGTCCTTATCTCGGACTACTTTTAATCTCTCGTTATCTTCGGACTTTTCTACTTCGGCCATTTCTTCACCTAGCCACTTTTCTAATCTTTCTTTTACACATTTGTCAGACTTTGTCAGGTTTCTATCACCTTTATCTTCTTGGCACTTTTTCTTTCTTTCTTTTCTTCCCTTTCCTACTATGTTCAACTTCTACCAGAAACTTTCAAGATACCCGTTAGAATAGATGTGCAGACGAAACAAATTACATTTTCTACATGACTCATTCTTCCCGGATAGTTACCTGAAGTATCAATAATAGCAACAGCCACTTGCATTTCAGTTCACTTGTGGAGCCATGTGGACCTACCCCTCCTTAGTATGCTCTCTAGACCCCTGATT